TAAAGCATGAGCTGCAGAGTGTGCCGAGGCTGTTCCACATGCAGTACAGGGCGCGTGTGTCCATCTGTGCGGGCGACATGCTCTCCGCATAGTCTTCTTATTGTCTACCTCTGGCCAATAAAGACGAGCATTGAGAAAGGTCACGTGACAGCACCACGAGCGAGTGGGAAAGAATTTCAGACGAAGAGAAGGACAAAAAAAACCAACGCCATAGTTTTACATCCATTTATACTCCTCAAACTATTCAGCGTAAGGCTGTGGTCAACAAAAGGAAATGTTGGTCAACTGAAGTTCTCCATTCAACCAATCGATTGGTCAATGGGAGAAAAGGTTATCTCACAGTGTGCACTCTGCCTGGTAGCAGCTGAATGCTAATCAGAGTTACACAACATCAAGCAAATGAATTCCTGCAGTTGATTTTTAAATTTGCATACGGCATCAACACACAACACACACACACACACACACACATTGACAAGGACCGCAGAGCACAATGGGCTTCCATAAACAACAAAGCTACCACAGAACAACGGGATGCAGCCTACTGTTGTTAGTTTTTTGGCTTTAAATGATGACGTTTACACGGTTTCTCTCAATTGTCCCTCAATATCAATCCAGAATCTCCCAATCGACCAACAGACCAGAAGGTGTCAATTCAGTGGCCCCCTCCTGCCCTGTATTGGAAGCTATAACTATTTGTGACGTTTTGCCACCCTTTTTGTAGAATCACATCCGACAGTCATTGACTGCAACCAAATATTAGCTATGATGATTATATGGTCTGTGTCAAATCTATGTCAGTTTGTATAAAAAGCTTTATGTCCCCTAAAACCATGCAACTATGTACAAAAACAATTTCCTACACTCTTCATTTGAAGTGGATTTAAGCACTGAAATTAAACGTGAGAGGCAGCAGTTGGCATTCCCTTCAAATCCAATAAACTGACCAACACGACAACAAAATATGTCACTACTTCAATACTTTCTGACTCCTCCATATTCACTTTTACTGCATTGAAACGTAGTTATTATGTAATATAATAAAAAGTGTTTAGAGGAATATGTTCAGGTGATGGACACTTTCTTTTTGAAGCTGACAAGTTGCTTGGTAAAGCCACAGCTTGTATAGTGGTTAAAATAATTTCAAAGGTCAACACTGTCTGTCTGGTGTGAAAACAGAAGTGAAATCATGCTTAATGAAAACACACTGTGGTCTGACTGTTTTTATAAAGTGTTTGACGTTAGCCTGAGCTAAACATCCAGAGCACACAGTTGTTTAATCATCTCTAGAAACAAGACTACCTTAAACAGGACACTGTCTGTTTCATGACTTTCTGCTGTGCTGGACACGGGGAGCCAAATATTTTCTCCTCAAAATCTCCTGGAAACCGCAGTCAACTTTGAATGGTGGATGTTATCTTTTGAGGGAGGATGCATGGGAGATTCAATACACCACTCACACAAAAAGCCCTTGTTCCAGCTAAGTTTTAGAGAGGTTCTACAAAGAGGACATTTCATCGTTACATTTTGAAACCCATCTCATGGGTCTGTTTCAGGCATATGTGTCCTGTCTAACACAGCACACATCCATGTGTTTTTATACTGTGTGCAAGTGGAGCAGAGGGCTTGATGACTGACTCAGTTATTCCACCAAGTTAGCAGAATGACCTTGGAACGAAGGAAGGGGTGAAGAGGAGAGGTTTTTTTTGGCCTACGATGCTTGTATGATGCTTCATGTTAAGACTGTAACATCTTGGGTTTTGGAAATCCTTGGAAACTGATGTTGAAAAGTCAATGGTTTTTATTACTTCACATACTGCGTGTGTTGTGTTTTTCATCTTGGGGAGGTTAGTCTTAATGTAAGTTAAGTTTTAGACGAGAGTGTTAATCCTCCGGTTAAAAAAAAAACAGCACTTGAATCAATGCGTCAACCTCTTCTTGTTTATTGAAAGATCGGCATGTTGTGCTAAAGTTTTGGCTCTGGTCCTGAGCTGGAGTTTGTGTCTTATATCTTGTGTTTGAAGTTGAACACACCATTTTCGTCCTCCCTGATCTCTCCTGTGCTATACATACACAGTGTAATGTCTAAATCGCAGAAATGTGTGACAAAGCAGCATTATAACGAAGGACTGTAGTGCTGCGGAGATTCCCTGGCCTACAAATGTCGTTCTCAAGATGTAAGAAAACGTGTTTGTTTGGTACAGACCCCAACAGATCATAATGTCACATCATAATGATTTTAATAGTTTTTTGAGTTAAAATTAAATTGTGATGCAAAAAAAATAATATTCCCACTAATCATGAATCATGTCACAACTGTAATATCTGTCAAAATAATGATTTTTTAATTCTTTCTTTTCACCATATCGTGCATTCCTAATGTTTACACTTGTTGTTGAACGGCAACATAGTTCCTGCGTCATCACGTCCTTAGGAGCTACAGTGACTGTCTTCTGATATCATTGCTGAACAGAGTCCATGCCCTCATGAGTAGTTTTCTGGTTCATGTCCACCAACATTAAGTCAACTATCCAAAATGTACTGTGGCGTTAACATTCGTGAGTTGTTTGGCTCCTCGAAGGCTTCGTTCGGCCTCATAAAGTTGCAAAAAATCTCTCATAGCCAGTTATAATATAATCTATATAGACATTTACATGCGTAGACGTTGCCATTCAGATCAGTCACACAGCTTGCAAAAAACACATCCCCATCTTAAATTAGCTATTCAAATCATTGGCGCAACATGATGCTAATGATCTGAATTCAAATGAGCATTTTTTTCCACGCTGCAGTGAACCCAGTGACTTTTTGTAGCTATTGTCATCGACACAAGCTGTGTGTGTGTGTGTGTGTGGTGGTGTGTGTGTTGCTGTGTGTTGTTAGGTGTTCTGCATCGTTTTACGCCGTTGGTGAATGCAGGATTTGTACCAGGTGTGCATGATGTTTAGTGCTCGAAGTATGCTGTGCATCGTTCTCGTGGTGAATACTGTGTGGTCGTGTGGTGTTGTGTCGAGTTGGGAGTGGAGAGGAGAGTGTGAGGAAGCCTCATTTCCATTCAGTGGCACCGTGTAACAGTCGTCCTTTGGCCCCTTACTCTCAAGGCTTAGACTTCACAAAGCCTCACTTTGTCACAGTTAACAGGCCGGCCTGCAGCTGGGTTGCCAGTGGAGTTGGCGGTCCCCGTCTTGTTGCTGCCCACACTACAGAAAGGAACCCCTCGAGGTGATGAGCTGTAGATGACAGGGTTTGAGATGCCAGGAATGTTTTAATCGTCTGGGAGAAAAATGTGTCCCAAACTAGATGAGCACAGGCAGTTCACATAACACTGCAAGCAACTATAGTGTGGAATTACAGCCCTGCTTCTTCTTGGTCAGGTGTTGGTGAACAAAAATGTCCCTACAGGTTGAATTGTTGATATTCATGGCCATTTTATTGCATAAGGCACAGGTTGTTGATTTAACATAATGCAATTAGAGTACTGGATTTTTGAAAACTTTTGGTAATCATTATTTTGTTTTTGCGGGCCAGATAAAAGTTAAATATCAGCCTGCTGGGGTCATTTGCTGGATACGACATCTGTGATAAGCTAAGATGAGTTGACGGATTATCGCCATGTCTATCAGGTTCGTGCCAGAGCTTGTATCTCCACACTGAATTCTTCAATATGGATGGAATGGGGGAGTTGCATAGACATGAATAATATTTAAAAATAATCATATTTTTACTTCATTTCAGTTTTTCAATTAGAAAAAAAAGTCATTTTTTTACTATTTTGCCAGCCAGGATATTGTCAAGTTACAGTTTTCTTACAAACATGTAAAGAGTATGACTGCTGGTGTAAGACATCTGATCGGTGCCCCTTCTGTTGACTGAGAAGGATTGTTCACTGTGATATTGGCTCTCACAAACATGTCGTTATTACATGCATGCTTTCAGTCGCAGGCCACTGCAGTGTGACAATGCCAGGCATTCTTCAAATGGATGTCTGGGTATGTCTCAAGAGCAGCGACAATAGGAGATTGTTCTCAGTGTCGGCTCCAGTCAACAAAGATGTCACACTTGCGGACATATCTTATACATTTTAGTGCTGATAGAACATTTGCCCTGTCTGTAAATAAAATTTCTCTCTATCAATCTATCAACAGATGAATACATACAGCCTGTATATATGTGTGTTATAGTTTTACAGGATTTTGAATGCAGTACTTTTTCTTCTACAAATGTAATTTTACATGATGCAATTGATACTTTTAATTAAAGCAGCAACAAGGAATTTTTTGGTTTATTCCTGCAGCCCCTGTGGACAAAAGTGGTAGTGTTTTAGAAGCCTTGTTTTCATTGATTTCTAGAGGAATCTGACTGAATCCGACCTGTCAGGCATTAAGAATAACTATATAGAAAAAGCCTGTTTCACTGATGGTTGTTTGGTTATTTAGGTCATGTAGAGGCATCAGTATTACATTATTTCATAACTAGTAAAAAACCTTAAAATAAAGTGCAATGCGTATTACACCACTGCCACTGGGAGATTCTTCAAAAAGCCGGAACCCTTAAAAGCAGTTATTGTGAATCCTGGAGCAGAGAAAAACCAACAAACCCTGACCTGGTGACACTGGGCTGCTGTAGGTCTCTAATGTAGGCAGGTGCCTGACCATGCAAAGCTTGAAACGTTTTAAGACTCTTGAATTGGATCCTGAACTTGATGGCGAGCCAATGTAGATTTTGCTGCTCTGTTGGTGTCTCATTGTGTTTGTTTGTTGTGTGTCTCTGCAGTGTTTCCCGTGTGGCGGGGGATTGGGGCCAATAGTGGCGTCGGAGGCGGGTGGAGCCAAGGCTGGGGCCGCTGCTTGCGATGGGAGCCAGACAGTCCAGGACAAAGGGTCCGGATCCCGGTATTTGACTACCCGGTCTGGTTAGTCCTCTGTCGTGGGGGACGAGCCAGGCTCATTGAGGTTTGTCAGAGAGGGAGAGGTGCCATCAGACTGCCCACAGACATGCTCAGCATCAAGCTTCCCCAGCTCTTTGACATCCACCAGGTCCCCAAGGTAAGGAAGAAGGGGAGACCTTCACTACAAGGTCTACAAGGTACTTGGTAGGTCTGTCTTACAGTTTGCTTCATCCTGCTGTAAATGCTGAATGTCCTGTGCTGATTCTCAGTGTATGAATCGACCTATCTGTCACCACTTTGGGACGGGTCCTCTACAATCACTGATTGTATGAAATGCTGGAGCTGGTGTGGCATTTTGCTCATGCAAGCTGGTACTGTGAGCTCTGTTAATCAAATTATTCAGTAAAAAATGTAATCAAGGACATAACAATGTGGGTGAATGCAGTGAAAGTTAGACATTTTATTTACACACATTAAGGAGAAACAGAACAACGTCGTGAGCGTCGGGGTATTGTACAGTGGGTTCATCAGAACTTTAACAGCTGCTTGCGGTGCCTGGAAACAAAGCATTTTAAACCGGCACAATGAGCTTAAAGATGCTAATATGCTCCGTAGAGCTTTGAGGAACTGCAGAGGTACATTATAAATACAGTAGTCATTCATTCCATTGTTGAAATAAAAATATTTTTTATAGAGTCTACAGTGGCACTGAATCAGTTTGTATACTGCAGTACAAACCCCATAACCTTCAGTTATTTTTTATTTCCTGTCATTGTTGTTTCACGATTTTTGAATTCCTTACAAGATCTTTCTATAAAACGCCAGCCTTGCAGGTTTGTCTGTCAGGACATGAACAGGCACGAAGAATGACGTGAACTTACAACATCTGAACATGTACAGTAGACAGAGCGACTTATAAAGGGTCTACTGTTAACAGTAACACATATTCCATTTTTTTTATTCCTCTTGTTTTATAATATCAATCAACCTAGCCCTAAAGACAACGTAATGACAAAACAATAGAAGCGTTTTAAGAGATTATTGTGTTTTTGACAGGAAGTATCTACAATCGTGGCATTCTACATCACATGTCAAGGGCTTTCCTCTCATTATTTATATACTGTAAACAAAGCCAAATGCATGACAACCATATGGGATTTAACACCCACACCTTAGTGGGAAAGATATTTGGTAGCTGACTGTCCTTCAACAGGAGTAGGAGCCCTGCAGTTCAAGCATCTGTGTTGGCCGGCGTCCACCCCACTGTAGCGACCTTATCTCGTGTGATAAGCAGTCATTGTTGTCGTGGTTTTACATCACAATATCCAGTCAACAGTTTCAGTGTCAAGTCCTAAAATATGTGACCTTGACTGTGCATTATTAGAGTTTAAATATTTGAGTTTCTATCGATAAGTTTCCAAAGTGTAGGAACACAGATATTTACTTTACAGAGATATTAATATTATTATTATTATTATTAGATACTTAAAAGCTACAAGGCTTAAGTTACTGAAATGTTCTACCACAGCCTCTTCGGATTGGCAAGTGGATATGAGATCTCTGCTTGAGAAAATATTTACATTGTTGTTATCTTTGTTTATCCTCACATCTTCCTTTTTAGCACATCCAATTAGATCCAGAACTGCAGAGTCTTTGGGCCAAGGTTTTCACCACTTTGTCAACATATGAAATCAAAAATCAAGCAGCTGATCCTAATCCCCTTCCAAGGGGGTCACAAGATAAATCTGAGCGGTTAGGAGATTATTGATAGGACGAAAAAGAAACAAATTACAACGTTTTGCTACAAAATTCGTTCTCTAAACTATGTTTTTTTGCAAAATGTTTGCCTCTAACTAGGTGTTATCTAATTGTATCTATCTAGGTGTTCAGGGAGGATAGCATCATCTCTGGATACCGACACCCACGGAGCTCAGCGCTGGACTGCGTCCTCAGTAGCTTCCAGATGAACAATGAGACGATCAACATCTGGACCCACTTCCTGCCAACATGGTGTGTGCAACAGCATGTCACATATTCATTTAATGTGTCAGTTGTGTTTGGTGCACTTTTGCAATCTGTTACTATTGCCTTGTTGGGCCAAAACATCTAATATGAGACAATGACCGCAAGATCAACACTCCATGCTGACAATGATATGACCAGAGCAAATCTAGTTATATTCAAGACCAAGACTAAAACTAGAAGTAAAATGAACATGTTCACTTTCCAGCTGTAAAAACATGACAGAGTTTGTAAGGATCAGTAGAAGTATGAAGATCTTTGTTTAGTATCTGCAATGTTATCCCTTAAAGTCTTCATAGTGCTGGAGAAAAAATAAACAGGTGGATAAAACGTACTATAAAGATTTTTAGAAAGGTGGGAAGAAGTTGTGGTAGGGTCCCAAAAAATACAATAGGCCTGAATCAAACAGGATGCCAGCAAAGTCCAAGTACAACAACTCTGAATGTGTGGGAAAGTAGAAGTCAGAGAGAAGTTTGAGCTGAGTTGATGATTAAAAATATGCTGAAATGAGACAATGGTGATTTGCAGGTACTTCCTGTGGCGCTTCTGTGTCCTCTGCACCACCCTGAACTTCCTGACCGACAGCTACACCTGGCCCCTGCTGGTGTACATGCTGCTCATCTGCATTTACCCCTTCACCTCCAGCTGTGCACACACTTTCAGCACCATGTCCCCAGAGTCCCGCCACATCTGCTACTTCTTTGACTACGGAGCGCTCAGCCTCTACAGTCTGGGTAAGACTTCAGACACGATGTAGGGCTGTAGTCACCCAAAGAAAATCTAGGTAGACTGATCTTTAATCAATGAATTAAGTGGGGAATAAAAAAATCAGCATGTTATTTCGAGGTTAACTAAATCCAGCATAGTGCACTGAATGCACTGTACCTGGTGGCTGCTGGGTGCTAGCCAAAGTTACACAACATTGCCAAGAAAATGAATTCCTACAGTTTGACCATTTCTTTTTTCACATGTAACTATATTGTTACCTTCATGCCATGTCCATCAAGTAAATTTACATACAACACAAAGCAACACACACACAAACAAACGCACACAAACTCACATACCTTTTGTTATGTTATTGAGCTTGAATAGTTAGCCCCCTAGTAAAATGCACATACATTAAAAAAAATAAACTTTATCCACTCAGCCCTTCTGTCCTCTGAGGCTGAGGGCCGATGAAGTGATTTGTGCTGGTTATTTGACATTGTAATTGAGTAAATGTTCAGCAAGTTCAGCTCTGCAGTCTCCAAAAAAAACCAAACCAGGTGACTTATAGGTCTTATCGTCTTATCTTATAGTCTATTAAACTATACGAATATTAAAATAGAACCATATTTATTGAGTAAAATATATTTAAATATTATTTTATATCATACATTAACAGTGTTGTTTGTAACAATTCACTCAAAAAATAAAATACATCAGGTCTGCATATGTCCCACTTGACCCCTGAACATAATGTAAGAGTAAGAAGCACTTTTCTCCTTATGAAAGTAACACCCCGACCAAATTCGACCAACCAATCGACCAGAAGGTGTCAGCCTAAAAAGGTTTGGTTTGGTTTAGTGCAGATATTTTGCTTTTCTACATTAACATTAACATCTTGAATTCAAAGAGGTGAATGAGTCATTGTTTGAGCTCTCTTAACAACTGTTGCACTTGACCAAGGCACTTGAAACAATAAGCGCTTCATATTACTTGGTGAAGTGATCAGTCTTTATTTACAATATTACAGGAAAAATATTTAACGTATATAATAAGTGAGTAGTACAAGAATCTTTGAAAAGCAAAATTAAAAACTGTTTTGAATGCCAACACTTTAAATTCTAAATATTTTCTTATTTTTAAGGAGTGTGGAGTATATTATTATATATGATTATTTTTCATTTTCTCAGCATTCTTCGCTCTGCTACCGATTTTCTGAGATGGCCAAGAATACTGACATGACATTTCTTTAAGGATTTCTTTCTCCACATTTTATGTACGTGGCAGGTGACCTGGCAGAACAGTCGAAGCATTGTTGAATCTATTTGCCTATTGTCATGTGGATATAATCAGGGAATGCCTGATTTCCATATCATCTCAAACCATATATAACAATATCGCTCCCTTCTGCCTCGCTTCAGAGAAATAGTTTGTTTCATGGCTTATCTATCCGTGTCACTGTGTATCAGTATTTACAGAGGAATTGCAACAAAGAATAAACAAATGACGTATCTGTCTTGTAATAATTCAGAGTTTGTTGGGCGATTGGTCATTTGAAAATGTTTTCCTGCAGCATCTGCTGTCACTGTCTGCCTATTTGCAGGCGTGTACATTAATGCAAGAAAGATGTATTGTCTGCCGTTGACCTTTAGAATCACACATAATTGTGTATTTTAAGGTGAGCACACTGTATGTATTGTCACTATATATGCTTACAGTTGCACAGTTGTGTGTGCATTTCAAATATACCGTAGTGTGTTTGTCTTTATGGGTGTGTTTATGATCCCTGCTCCATTTGTAAGATCCCACCAGCAGTCAAACATTAACAAACATTAACAAACATTAACAAACATTAACTGAGGTCCTCTTCAGTTCCCTTCCCAAATGGTGTGGTCCCCGGCAGACTGATCCTTAATCTGCCACAAAGCTTCTTAGTGCCAAAATTTGCCCAGTTTAAAATGTTCAAAAGTCCATTTCAGGGATACGTGCTTGCAGGAGGGTTTTTCTCACTGCAGGACAAAAAGCTATAGGACAGTCTTTACAGTCAGAGGCTGAGCTTTGATGGGGGGGGATTCTGTTGCAACACACAGAACAGCAGATGCTCTCTGGGGAAAGAGACAACACAGTACTTTTTTTTTATTGTTCCAGTACACTGAAAATCTTTAAGTTGGGCAGATTCTTGTTTGTAATTAAAAACAATCGCACTAAATGAGTTAAATGATTGAAAAACAGAAAATGAAAAGTGTAGATTTTGAAATATTCCCACTCTGGTGACCCCCAGTGGTTGTATCAGAAAAGACAGTGTAACAGACAAACTGCACCATTTCTATTGTCTCCCTGCCTCTAGAACAAAAGTCTACAAGTTGTGGCTTTAAATAGTCAAATGGGCAGGTGTAATTTAAGTGTGTTTTCCTGCTAATTCCCCCACATAAAAACTTTCATTTACAAGCGTGTATAATGCTTTCCCCCCTCCTAGCTACACCCTTATTTTGTCTGTGAATGTGTTTTTGTGACATAACTGATCTCCCTTTCTTGGAAGGAGTCTTGCAAAACAGATTTAGGCCTCAAGCGACCATCCTGGTTTAATGTTTGTGATTTTGAAACACCTACTCATTGTACAAAATAAATAGATAAATAAAAAATAATAAGATACAATGTACAGAAATACATTTACATATATACAGACACTTTTATCTGAAGATATTGTATCTCTAATCTCTCCAGTCAAAATCAGTTAACATTTCTTTAATGTCTGTTTGTGTTCAGGTTGTGCCATAAGCTATGGATACTATGTCATACCAGACAGCTGGGTGAACAGCTGGCTCCATCAACATTTTGTCCCCATTGCCATTGGAAACACACTGTTCTGTACCAGTCTGTCCTGCTATTCCAGGTAAGAAGCTGCTGTGTACAATCTGCCTCTGCTCAAGAAGTTTAGAAAAATGAAGCAAATGTTCTGAAGGAAGTTGAAGATCAATCCCATTAACATTATGCCACGAGGTTCAAAGGATTGAAAACAGATGTCAGGACATTTACTTTTTGTCTTGAATGCCGATAACCTGCCTGCAACAGCATTTGATTTATATGAAGGTGACATCTTTATGTCTGGAAAATGCAAGGTTTTAATGTTTCCCTCAGACTTGTGTTCTTGAAACAACATTTGTGGCGCCATGTGACACTTGAACTCTCCACTGAAACCCAAACAAATGAAATTCTTTTAGGCTCAGCAGCTCTTAAAGACGCGTTGATCCACTGCAACTATTCCTTGAGTGTGTTACTGACTTTAAATGAAGCTGTTATCGACTGATCTGCAGTAAACTGATGCATCAGTCTAGCCTCAGTCGATGCACTTGAGCATTCATTTATAACATCTTTTAGTAGATTTCATATGTGAAAAATGTTGTCCTAAAATCAATATTTATTTAAAAGTAAAAACACTTAAAGTATAAAACTAATTTGAATTGATTGATGCTGTTGTCTACTTCAGGTTGTACTGAGACAGGGCAACTTGCAAGTTATAGTCCGACAATAGCATTTTTGAGGCAGATATTGATGTCGATGTTTGGGCCCAATATACATACTGAGTGGGACATATTGAAGTAGAAAAATAACCTTGTCAGTGCTCTCTGGTGGAAAAACTATGCGAGACACTGTTTCTAAATTCCCTCAAACCTATTTTGGTATGTCTGGGCTGCAATTCCTTTTTACTCATCGGCCGACATATTGGTGCTGGGACAAAAAACGCGTTAACCAGTAGACTGGCTTTAATTTCCTGTATGATAAGCTTTTTTTAATACTGGTGCATAGCTGAAACAATTGCTATTTGTTTCTTACTAGACCAAAAGAACATTGAGAAATATCTCTTAGAATATAACAATAAAAATGGTTTACATTCTGCACACATGAAGGAATTAAACTGTTTTTATATTCAATGTACTCCTGACAGTAGAATGAGCCACTATCAACCTAAATAAAGGCATAAAGGTCATTCAAAAAGAAATTACTGTGATATACCTGTGAAACTGCCAGAATCTTACAAAATACCGTGGTCTTAAGCCCATGTCTGAAAATCGAAGAATAGTTACTGTGCTAAACTGAGCTTGAAATATCATATTGTCATTGTTTGATGTATTTTACCCTCTGGATGTCAATCAGATCCTAGCTGGGTTTTGGTCTGTGGATGGGTAGGATGGGGGGGGTCACCACGGGGTAATTATTGTTTTCTTTTTGTTTCTGTACATAGAATATATGTTTACTTTTTCCTGTGTATTGATAAAACTAAATAAAAACAGTTGATTACAAATAGAAGTTGGTGATTACAGCCTTCTGCTTGTGTCGACAGATTCCTGGAGCTGCAGTTCCCACAGAGGAGTAAAGCTCTGAGGACAGGAGCGTTTGTCCTTCCCTTTATATTTGACACTGTTCCATTGTTTTACAGGGTGAGTGTCAGTGTCGGGCATTTCTATTTGTCCTTCGTGTCTGCTTTTATGTTACACACATTGAAACAGCGTGGATATACTGTATGCACACTTGCACAGACTGTGTTGTGTGTTTGTGTTATTATGTAAGTGCTCGGAGCTGATTAGTGCCAGGCTTTAATACTCTGAGCAGGACTTTGGCTCACTAACCCAGAAAGTGATTTCCTTTCTTAATCTAATACAAATGTATCGCTGCCATCAGTTAATTCCCCTAATCACTGTGATGATTAGTTTGTGCAATACGCAAGTCATTTGTTGGAGGTTTTTTTTGTAACTAGGTCAAACAATGCTGTAACCATCAGTGTTGATAACAGTAATGTGCATTAGGTACAGAAGTCCCCGTATCTTGAATTGGTGGCGTCTGTTGACATTTCCAATCAGTGTTTTATCTTCTGTTACTTTTGAAGGACCTGGAGATTAATCTGTTGGTTTCTAGTGTTTTCTGAATATATTGCATTTAAAAATCTGGATGTTTTTCTATGTGTAGATCCTTCTCTGCTGTGGAGGAAGCTGCAGCTCGAGCGAGGCCTTATCCAGTCACTGTTACCACCTCCTTTTTGCCTTCCTCACCTGTTTCCTGTTTACCGCCCACCTCCCGGAGAGGTTGGCCCCAGGGCGCTTCGACTACTTTGGTATGTCGTTGATGGATGTTGTATGATACAGGTTGTAACTGGCTTATTTGGCTTTGCACAGCATACACTGATTAATACTTTGAATCTTGATGGAAGTAAGAAAAAAAACTCTCTTCCCTTACTGAGGAAACAATAATGAAAGTACATCTAAAAGAATATGTAAGAAAATGATTAACCCCAGTTATTCCAGTTGAGTTATAGCTGACATTTCACTGAGCAGCTCCCCGGTGAGATTGAGTGTAACTTTATGAATTAGAATTTTGAAAAGGAGCAGGCATGTCAAGTAAAAAAAGGTGTTGGCTGTGTCCAAATTATATAATGATTACCAAATTAGCCTTCCGCAGTAAAATTAGCAAGGTTTTGCCCTCCACATGGGGCGAACTTTTATATTGCTGTCTTTTGTCTTTGCCTGTTCTTTAATGTTCTCCCTGCTGAATACTGGACAATTGACATAAAACAATAGCTCTATATCAAACAGGCTTTTGATTTGATTGCGTGTAAACTAATCCAAACTTTTCTGGCTGTTTCGTTATTTAATCGGCAGTTGTTTATCCCGCTGTGGTTTCAAAGAGGTTGTTTTGTTTTTTTTTGTATAAAAATGGTTCACAAGCTTCTGAGTGCAAAGGCCTTAGTATTATTTACTGAGTCTGAAGAAAATGTTGTTTAATGAATAACAATTTTAGCTTCACTAAAGGTTTTGGAACATGCTGCTACCAACAGATTTAATTTTTATCTCTGTGGTCTTTTTGAGAAGTATCAACTTAAAGAAGCATTTCACCC